TTTATTGTACTGATCGTTCAGATGACATTGGAAATATTTAAGGCTGGGGTGGAGAAAATAGTTGGTCGAGAGCCGAAGGATATTAGTGGTGAAATTGTATTGGTAAGTTCCGAAGCTTTCTAATGTAACCTCCCAAGTCGATTGGATTGAAAATTATCTTTTCTTTCAGATTACCGGCTCAGGACATGGTATAGGTCGTGAACTGACAATGCAATATGTTAGCCAACACAGTACGGTCATATGTGTTGATATCAATGAGAAAAACAATGAGGAGACAATGAAGAAGGCCAAAGCCCTCAATAGGGGAGTGGTCCACAGTTACATGTGAGTTCGAAAAAAATATTCTTTAAATGAAGCCCCGAAGGTTTTTAGAAAATTATGCTTTAAATCATCTAAGCCTCGAGGCTTTTAGGAAATTATTTTTTAAATTATCCAAGCCTCGAGGCTTTTAGAAAATTATTTTTTAAATAATCCACGACTTGAAGGCCTCTAAAAATATATTCTTTAAATAATCCACGCCTGGAAGACCTCTAAAAATATTTTCTTTAAATAATCTACACCTAGAAGACCTCTATAAATAATCTACGCCTAGAAGACCTCTAAAAATATTTTCTTTAAATAATCTACACCTAGAAGACCTCTATAAATAATCTACGCCTAGAAGACCTCTAAAAATATTTTCTTTAAATAATCTACACCTAGAAGACCTCTATAAATAATCTACGCCTAGAAGACCTCTAAAAATATTTTCTTTAAATAATCTACACCTAGAAGACCTCTATAAATAATCTACGCCTAGAAGACCTCTATAAATAATCTACGCCTAGAAGACCTCTATAAATAATCTACGCTTATAAGACCTCTATAAATAATCTACGCCTAGAACACCTCTATAAATAATCTACGCCTAGAAGACCTCTATAAATAATCTACACCTATAAGACCTCTATAAATAATCTACGCCTAGAAGACCTCTATAAATAATCTACGCCTAGAAGACGTCTATAAATAATCTACGCCTAGGAGACCTCTATAAATAATCTACGCCTAGAAGACCTCTATAAATAATCTACGCCTAGAAGACCTCTATAAATAATCTACGCCTAGAAGACCTCTATAAATAATATACGCCTAGAAGACCTCTATAAATAATCTACGCCTAGAAGACGTCTATAAATAATCTACGCCTAGAAGAACTCTATAAATAATCCAAGCCTGGAAGTCCTATAAACATATTTTCCTTAAATGATCTGCTCTTAGAAGACTTCTAAAAATTATTCTTGAAATACTCCACGACTAGAAGACCTCTAAAAAATTCTTCTTTAAATAATCCACGCCTAGAAGAGGCCTAGGAGGCCTCTAGAAAACTATTTTTTAAATAATCCAACCCTAGGAGGCCTCCATAAAATTATTCATTAAATAATCCACACCTGGAAGAGCTCTATAAAATACTTCTATAAATAATTCACGCCTGGAAGAGCTCTATAATATTATTTTTTTAAAATATACGCTCCTGAGGGCCCTAAAAAAATCTTCTTTAAATAATCCCCGCCTCAAAGCCTTTAAAAATTCTTCTTTAATTTTTTTTTAATCTACTTCCCAACCTCCATTCCCGCCATTGCAGCAATTCAGAGTCATTGTCACTTTTATTTGTTGCACTCGACAATAAAAGTTATTCAATGTTCGCTGCTGCCAAATTGCATGGCAGTTGGCCGCATTATAAAATTCTGCTTTAAATAATCCACGCCTAGAAGACCTCTATAAAATTCTGCTTTAAATAATCCACGCCTAGAAGACCTCTATAAAATTCTGCTTTAAATAATCCACGCCTAGAAGACCTCTATAAAATTCTGCTTTAAATAATCCACGCCTAGAAGACCTCTATAAAATTCTGCTTTAAATAATCCACGCCTAGAAGACCTCTATAAAATTCTGCTTTAAATAATCCACGCCTAGAAGACCTCTATAAAATTCTGCTTTAAATAATCCACGCCTAGAAGACCTCTATAAAATTCTGCTTTAAATAATCCACGCCTAGAAGACCTCTATAAAATTCTGCTTTAAATAATCCACGCATGCCTTTAGAAAATTCTCCTTTAAATAATCCACGCCTAGCATGCCTTTAGAAATGTCTCCTTTAAATAATCCACGCCTAGCATGCCTTTAGAAATGTCTACTTCAAAAATAATCCACGCCTAGAAGGCCTTTAGAAAATTCTTCCTTAAATAATCCACGACCGGAAAAGCTCTAAAAAATTCTTCATTAAATAATCCACGCCTAGAAGACCTCTATAAAATTATTCTTCGAATGAACCACGCCTAGAAGCCCTTTAGACAATTATTCTTTAAATAAATCACGCTTAGAAGAACTCTATTAAATTATTCTCTAAATAATCCACAACCTATATAATATTATTTTTGTCTCTTCCCTCTCCCTCCAGCTGTGATGTAACTGATCGTGAAGCCGTTTTAAATTTAGCCGACAAAATAAAACGTGATATCGGTCCGGTATCGGTGCTGATAAATAATGCCGGTATTATGCCAACAAAACCATTGGAAAAACAAACCCCTGAAGAGATACGGCGTACCTTCGACATCAATGTATTTGCCCATTTCTGGACATTGGAAGCATTTTTACCCCAGATGAAGCAACAAAATCGCGGTCACATTATTGCCATCTCCTCGATGTGCGGTGTCGTCGGTATGCCCAATTTGGTGCCATATTGTGCCTCGAAATTTGCTGTACGAGGTATGATGGAAGCTTTGCATAATGAAATGCATTTGGGACCATATAAAAATTTGGTAAGAAGAAACCCCTATTAGTCCTACCAAAATAATTTCTATTTGTTCTTATTCTGGTTCCTTTTCAGATAAAATTCACCGCCATTTATCCCTATGCCGTGGACACGGGCCTCTGTGAAAGTCTCAATTCTAGATTTCCCTCAGTGCTGGCCATGTTGGATCCCAAATATGTGGCAGAGAAAATCATTGAAGCCCATCGCTGTGAACTGACCAATGTGGCATTGCCATCGTATATGTTTCATTTAAATAACTGGACCCGCCTACTGCCGCATACCGCCGCACTTTTATTGTTCGACTATATGAACTGTGCAATAGGTTGTAAATAAGTTATGGCATTTGTTATTGTAAGAAGTAAATAATATATATATATATATATATATATTTTTTTTAATAAATATTTTGTACTATTTGAAAAAAAAAAAATGCTTAAATAATCCACGACTTGAAGATCTCTATAAAATGATTCTTTAAATAAACCACGCCTTGAAGATCTCTATAAAATGATTCTTTAAATAATCCACGCCTGGAAGATCTCTATAAAATGATTATTTAAATAATCCACGCCTGGGAGATCTCTATAAAATACTTCTTTAAATAATCCACGCCTGGAAGACCTCTATAAAATAATTCTTTAAATAATCCACGCCTAGAAGACCTCTATAAAATAATTCTTTAAATAATCCACGCCTAGAAGGTCACTATAAAATTCTTCTTTTAATAATTATTCTTTAAATAATCCACGCCTAGAAGGTCACTATAAAATTCTTCTTTTAATAATTATTCTTTAAATAATCCGATATAAAATTCTTCTTTTAATAATTATTCTTTAAATAATCCACGCCTAGAAGGCCGCTATAAAATTATTCTTTAAATAATCCACGCCTAGAAGGCCGCTATAAAATTATTCTTTAAATAATCCACGCCTAGAAGGCCGCTATAAAATTATTCTTTCAATAATCCACGCCTAGAAGGCCGCTATAAAATTATTCTTTAAATAATCCACGCCTAAAAGGCCGCTAAAAAATTATTCTTTAAATAATCCACGCCAAGAAGGCCGCATTAAAAATATTCTTTAAATAATCCACGCCTAGAAGGCCGCATTAAAAATATTCTTTAAATAATCCACGCCTATAAGGCCGCTATAAAATTATTCTTTAAGTAATCCACGCCTAGAAGGCCACTATAAAATTATTCTTTAAATAATCCACGCCTAGAAGGTCGCTATAAAATTATTCTTTAAATAATCCACGCCTAGAAGGTCGCTATAAAATTATTCTTTAAATAATCCACGCCTAGAAGGCCGCTATAAAATTATTCTTTAAATAATCCACGCCTGGATGCCGCTATAAAATTATTCTTTCAATAATCCACGCCTAGAAGGCCGATATAAAATTATTCTTTAAATAATCCACGCCTAGAAGGCCACTATATAATTATTCTTTAAATAATCCACGCCTAGAAGGTCGCTATAAAATTATTCTTTAAATAATCCACGCCTAGAAGAGCTCTATAAAATTCTTCTTTAAATAATCCACGCCTTGAAGACCTCTATAATTTTTTTCTTAAACTCTATAAAATTATCCTTTAAGGGAACCCCACCCATTCTCTATTTTAATTTTTCAACATTTTCAAAGGGCTGGTAAATCAATACCAATGCTTGTTAAGGTATGTACCGGACCTTTAAAAACATATTTTAGGAAAATCGCCGATTTTTTATCAAAAACCAAGATAAAAAATAAGGAAGTTCTTCACCGATTGGCTTTATCCTAGTTCATACGATAGCTATACGCTCACAGATAAACGTGTAAAAATTTGGAATCGATTGGGTTATTAGTTTTTGAGTTATCGTGCCCGCCATTCGTTTAGAGAAAAACGCGTTTAAAGTTTGAGAAGCCCTTTAGCCGTCACTTGATGCTGACAGAATAAATCGGCTATATCTTCAAGAGTTCTTGAGATTTTCACTTGAAATTTTGTAGGGACATTCTTGAATTAGTGTAGATTCGAATTAAGTCAAAAAAAATTTTGACCCCGAGAATGGGGGGGTCCCCTTAAATAACCTATGCCTAGAAGGTCGCTATAAAAATTATCTGTAAGTAATCCACGCCAGGACCCAATAAATGTTTTTTTTTTGCTACAAAATCCGCACTTCATAACAACAACAAAATATATGTATTTACAAAAACAATAACAAAAAATAATTCATTCAACTCCCCTTTCTTCATTTGGCCCAAAGGCCACAGAAGGCTTGACCACCGACCTCCTACGGGGCTTCAATAATCCCGACTCCTTTAAACTATCTCGCTGTGTTGAATCCCCTTCCCTCGGCATCTTTGGTTCATAAAAATCCATATAATTTTCCGTAGCCACTCGTCGTATAGCTGGAGGTGTTGAGGGTCTAACCAATTCATTGGCTTCATGAATTTTGAGATGGGTAAAAACAGGAATATACGAAGCGGTTATATCCAAATCGATACGTTGCTCCACTGCACTGCGTCCTGGCAGCTGGAAATGTTTACCCAAGATGGGAGCACGCAACGATTGGCCATATAAACGAGATATATTATCTTGATCATCCTCCACACCACCATCACCATTAGGGTCTTTGGAGGAAGCTGCTTGATTTGATTTTTCCTTGGGATATGCCATGGGAAAGTTGTCCAATTGTTGACCGGTAATGACCTAAAGAGAGAGAAAGTTGATTTATTTTTTCTTTTGATTCAGATATCCCCCTACCTTCATGGTTGTCGAACTGGCCACCTTTTGTATATCGGGTGGCATGCGAAACTTTTCATATTTCTCTTCAACTGATTCGAAGGGCGATAATTTCATCCAAGGCAATGGGGACCCTAAAGTACCCAAATAACGGCCACCCAGTGACCACAGACGGCAGGAGCAATCGTGACTGCCCCTAAAATAAAATAACTTCGTAATTATTATTTCAATAATTTGTTTAATTAAATAAAAATCATATTTACGTTATTAATATTTTCGTTTGATTTATATAGGCAATTGAATTGATGGCCCTTAGATGCCCCTTGTAGGAGCTAACCAGCAACGGCTCCGTCTGATGGCGTACTGCTCGCTTGGATCTCGTTAGAAATCTGTCATTTCGCAAAAATATAAATTGTAACCGCAACAATGGCATGTTAACTTTCACTTTATCCTTTTCGGGTATCCTGGAGGGAGGAAGGAGTGTGGAGGAGGAAATCATAAGTCAACAGGTATGATAGTGTATGTGTGAAGGCAGGGTGGTGGCGGCCCACAATGACAATTCATAAAGATGTCATTAAATATGACAAGTCATGTTCCGGGCTGGTAGACATGTAAACGATTTGGTACCCCCGAACAAAATTTGATTGCTCCTGAAGGCAATAAGCAGAACTACACTAGGCTACAAGGAAACAATTTTTGTGTAAGGCAGCGAAGAGACGATTTTTTAAAAGGGTGAATTATTTACAGAATAATTTTATAGAGCTCCTCAAGGCGTGGATTATTTAAAGAAGAATCTTATAGAGGTCTTCAAGGCGTGGATTATTTAAAGAAGAATTTTATAGAGCTCCTCAAGGCGTGGATTATTTAAGGAAAAAATTTATAGAGCTCCTCAAGGCGTAGATTATTCTAAGAATAATTTTATAGGGGTCTCCAAGGCGTCGATTATTCTAAGAATAATTTTATAGGAGTCTTCAAGGCATGGATTATTTAAAGTAGAATTTTATAGAGCTCGTGGTGTGGATTTTTTAGAGAAGAATTTTATATAGGTGTCTATTATTAGAAGAATTATTCTATAGAGCTCTTCCAGGCGTGGATTATATAAAGAATAATTTTATAAAGGTCTTCCAGGTGTCTATTATTAGGAGAATTGTTCTATAGAGCTCTTCCAGGCGTGGATTACTTAATGAATAATTTTATAGAGGTCTTCCAGGTGTCTATTATTAGGAGAATTGTTCTATAGAGCTCTTCCAGGCGTGGATTACTTTATGAATAATTTTATAGAGGTCTTCCAGGTGTCTATTATTAGGAGAATTGTTCTATAGAGCTCTTCCAGGCGTGGATTACTTTATGAATAATTTTATAGAGGTCTTCCAGGTGTCTATTATTAGGAGAATTGTTCTATAGAGCTCTTCCAGGCGTGGATTACTTTATGAATGATTTTATAGAGGTCTTCCAGCCGTGGTTGATTTAATGAATAGTTTTATAGAGTCTTACAAGCTTGTATTTATCTTGTAAAGTGTTTCCAATCTCATTTCTCTGTTGTCCTGTGTATAATTTCTTCAAGTAATTCATTTTTCTTATGGAATTGTTTGTCAATTTTGTCAAAGTTTGTCCACCCCCTCCAAAAACAGTCATAAATGTCATGCAAACATAATTTTAATAAGTTCTACTTTTTGCGGAATTTCATATTAGTTCGTGTTATCATTTATCTTCATATTTCGTGACAGGATATTCCACCCACCAAAAGCTTACAATAACAACAACAACTAATACAGATAAATTGTTTTGTAACTCAGTCGTCGGCGGGGTAATAACGTTTCAGTTTCTTGGGTACGCTACATAAAGGGTTAACAAGGGTTAAAGGGTTAAGTTATTAAAAATAGTTTTCATGGTTATGGGAGGATGGTCCTTCGATGACATATTTCGTTGAAAAAATTGTGCTTTGAAAAAAGTGAATCTCAGCGAAGATGAAAGCGCTAACTTCATGGATCGTTGGAAATTGATGGTTACGAGGCTGAGTTTTCCTCCTCCTCCTTGAAGAAATGAATGGCTCATCAAGAAAGGCAACCACTATAGGTGTCACTGCTAAGGAAGTCTCCGACCATAAGAATTACCGGAGAGCAATTAACTTTGCCAACCGGTTCATCGAGCGGAATAGGAACACGATTATCGACAAGAAATTCCTTCAGATCAAGAGGGATCTTAAATTTAAGTTCTCATTAAACTATTGGAGAAGAAGAATTCGTATCCGTAACGTGTAAAGTAACCCTCCAGCGGAGGAGGCAACTCTGGAGATGCCCGAGCACGACTGGGAAAATTATGTCAAGGACTTCTTATCAATCAGGACATTCGAGAGTTTTCCAGAGATGACTGTAGAGTGGTGAGCGAACGAGCTGCCAACCGGTTGCCGTCACTATCCTTCGTACTGACTCCAACCTACGATCTATCCACCCTCGTCGGGATTAATGTGACTCCAACCAACGTGCAATAAACATCGTCCGAGTACCTATAATAGAAAACCCTCTGCCAACAGTCCTAACATATCGTTTTTCTCTCTATTAAAAATTCCACAACGAAAATAAATTCTTTTGACGATCATGACTCCCTTTGAACCTATCCCAGCTTCAAAGTAGTAAACATGTCGTCATACCACCCCAAATGGGGAACGCGAAGCAGGAATTGTTCGCGATGAAACGGGAACCTCAAACATAACCAGTGACAGTGAAGAGGATGCGGTCTTCGGATGAGTAGCAACTAGCCGCGAAGAGACCACGGAGAAGGTCGCTTGAAATTCGCCAAACTGCTTTGTATACGCCGGTTACGTCAACGTGGACACCTACCAAGGGCGGCAAGAATACCAAAAAAAATCCGTTTCGAAGCAAGGCTCCTAGGACATAATCCTAAATCTCCATGGTGTAGGAATTATACATGCCACGACTTTACTCATTAATAGAATCCGCAAACTCACCCAAAATTCTCAATATACCATATCTTGATATAACCAAATGCAGTTCCGTTAAACAAATAACGATTCTTGCGATCTGTAGCCATGGCCAGGACACAATCTCCCGTCTTATGAATGGCATTAAATTGATCCAAATAGCCGCCATGATGATGATGAGAATAGATTTGTATTACACCCGTTTCCAGAGAGACAAATACACTACCTAAAAGAAATCAATGAGCAGACATCATTTATTACCCTTCGAAATAGTTCCTCATTCCTCACCATGTTCCCGATTCATGGGCCGGGTTTGTAAAAATAACACCGCCTGCACCGACATGGGTAGCGACTCACTTCGCTCACTATGCTGCTCCTCCAAGCTGATAGCCTCACCTTCATCGGCCTCCTTAAGGCGGCGACCCTTAAATCGTTCCCTTTTCGTTTGTTTCTTTTCCAATTCTCTGATCCGATCCGATATGGATTTACGTACATAACGCGATATACTGACATGATATGATTGTCTTCTACGCTCACTAGCACGTCTCAGCTCTTCCGAATCTTCATCCTCTGCTTCATCGTCTTCCGGGCGATGATATTTCAGTTCAATAAATTTATCCGGTGTGGCAACATTGTAACGTCGATATGGTTGACCCGTTTCCAATTTCCAAAATATCAATTCACCCGAATAGGTGGCAGTTATGACACCTTCACCCAGTTTTACATCGGCACAGGTGATATCATCCGTATGGAACATGGGCCATTTTTTGGCATCACCATACTCACGACCCTCGGCATCATTGAATTCCGTTACCTGCATATCCCAGCCAACGGCTAGGATTCTAAAAAATAATTCTTTCTTTAAAAGTTGTAAAAGTTCTTTATTATCAAATTCTCCCTTACCTCTCCACAACCCATATCACTGCAGTGACTTCATGTTCCGCTCGAATACTCATATTCCGAATACACACCGCATTATTATAATTCCATATTTTCAGCGAACCATCTCGAGCTCCGGTCAGCAAAAATTGTTCCAGTGGATCAAAGCAGGCTGCTGTAATTTCGATATCAATATTCTCTCCGTACATTTGCTTGGTATGACAATTTTTCATAATAATTTTCCTACGACCGGTCCATGGATCCCAAACAATGATATAACTATCCAAACCGCAGGTGACAACATTTCGAAACAGCCGATTATATAAAACCACCGAGACCGGAGCAGCATGAGTATTGCCATCTGTCAGATCCACCCGCACCCGAGGGTTGCATTTCAAGGCGACCAATTTGCGACCGCCCACCAGGAGAACTCGCATATGGGGGTGATAGTAATAGGCCAAATCTGTTTCCCCAGGTATTAGGCGTACCAAATCACCATAGGTCTGCAGCAGGACATGTTCCGTTAGATCCCAAACTTTGATGATTTTTTGGTAGTCCACACTAGAAATCCACATAAAAATATCATGTTCCCAAAAATGGGGTCTGGAATTCTGATAGCTCACCTGTAAACCTTCTTTTCATCAGGTTGGACAAATACCATAACGATCCCACCATTATGACCCGTCAAAATTCCCGAAGGTTCACCGGGTATATAGACATCCCAAATTCGTACAAAGGTATCCGGGCCACCGGTTACAACAATGTTGTTCTTCTCATCCACAAAGAAGGTGGTGACACCCTAGGAAGGAAAATATTTTTTAAAACACCCACACCTTGAGAATCATAGAAAAAATATTCAATAAAAAATCCACGCCTTGGTGATCATGGAAAAAAAATTATATTTTTTAATCCTCGAGTCCATCAGAAATATTCTTTTAAAAACCCACTCCTTGAAAAAGATATTCTTAAAAAAATCTCCACCTTACCAAAGGTATCCGAAAAATAGTCTTCTCGTCCCCATTGGCCACTATCAGCCCTGGACATCGTCCCCGATATTTTTTCGTATTCCGATATTCGGCAGCCGAAAATAGGGAATTCAAACGCATCGAATAGAAGGTCTGTTGTATAAGTTCGCTATGGATATTCGGATATTCGTGGACAATGAACTGTGGAAGTTTTCCCTACAACAAAGAACAAATTGTATTTCCTCTTCTCCTCACCCTCCAAAGGTTCCCTTTACCTTAATTATATCCGACCAGAAAACTTCTACCAACGCCGCTCCAGGCTTCGACTGGAATGGTCCTCTCAAATGTGGATTAAATTCCAAAATGCGAACATTACCACCATAGTCGCCCAAAACTAGGCGAGAATTTGTTCTGCCATTCGGAAAGAAGCTGTAGGACATACAGCAAACAGCATAGGGCATACTGCGAACTACAATCCGCAAGGTAAATGTGGAGGCCACTGTTTCATGAAATCGCAATTCCCGTTCTGTGGAAGAGGTACAGACAATGCTAACATCCGACAAAGCCTGGATGGCCAATATCCAGGTGGACATTTTCAAGTGGACTGGGGATCACAGAAATGCATTAGAGGTTATTTTTCGAGGTTATAATATTCCCAAACTTACTACTTTCCGACATGCCACTGCGCAAAGGTTCCAAATTGGGCGACCAAAATCTTATTTGACCCTCCTTGCTACCCGTTATCCAAACACCGGTATTTTCTGGGGTATCATTCACAGACAAACTTGCCAATTTACGTTTCATTTCTTCGGCTTCTTCATCGAAATCCTCATCATCATCATCTCCAGCACCAAACTGCGCCTCCTCTTCATCGAATCGCTCCTCCTCCGCCTCATTCAGCAAAAAATCCGAACAAATCTTCATCAAACTGATACAACATACCGCAGATTTATGTTCCGATTTCCTAACCATGGGCTGGGATGATATGGGCAATGTCAACGCTTCCTTTTGACCCGATGGATCATCGTCCTGGAAACCAAATATCAAATACGATACAAATTCATTCCAATCGCATTTGAAATCACGATTTTGATTTATTTTCAAAAATAACCGCTGATATTCGAGGTCATTAAAAGTTATGTTGAGATATTCCAACTCTTCACGCAGCTCGGCATAGCTAAGTTTTCGTTTTGTCACGAAACGTTCATGCAGCTGTTCAATTTCATGCGACTTCAACCATTCGTGTAAACGTTCGGGTCGTTCGACAATGTCGTGGGAACATTCTGAAGATACCGATTGATATTCGATAAGGGGGCGGTCCTGATCGGCAGAGAAATCGAGTGGGTCCATTGGAGGTAAACCAACAAAAATCGGAAGGAAATTATTAAAAAATATAAAATATTTTTTGAATGAAAAATTTGAGGTTATAACGAACCAACTAGGAATATTTCAAGGTAGATATAATTAATATACCTTGGAATATTTTTAAATGCATTTTTAAAAAAATATTTTTTCATTGACCCAATAAGGCGTAGATTTTTAAAAGAATAATTGACCCAAATAGATTTTCAAAAGAATAATTTCTCATTGACCCAATAAGGCGTAGATTTTTAAAAGAATAATTTCTCATTGACCCAATAAGGCGTAGATTTTTAAAAGAATATTTTCTCATTGACCCAATAAGGAGTAGATTTTTAAAAGAATAATTTCTCATTGACCCAATAAGGCGTAGATTTTTAAAAGAATATTTTCTCATTGACCCAATAAGGCGTAGATTTTTAAAAGAATATTTTCTCATTGACCCAATAAGGCGTAGATTTTTAAAAGAATATTTTCTCATTGACCCAATAAGACAACCAATTTTTTGTTTAAAATTATTTCATTTAAATTTTTTAGTTTTTTCACCTTTTAATTAAAATTACATATTTATTTATTTTCTTTAGAGGAGACACTTAAACGCTAACAATTTTGTATTTATATAAAATGAAATCCAAAGATATAAGATAAAAAATATAGCTTGATATTTTTATATACAACGTTGTATCACATCATTGATACCGGTGCCACGATCGCCATATTCACCACCACGTTTATATGAAACGGATACTTTATTTTTCCAACCATCACGAGGACTTGATAACTGAAATAATAAGAAAAACGGAAAAAATAATTAATATAAATTAAAATAATTAATTTCAAAATTTCTAAATTCGCAGTTTGTTTTGTAAAATCAAGTCATTCTGAAATTTTTCAGAAAGAAGCCATCTATTCTCTGAGTCATTTACTTAAGAAAGTACTTAGACCTTCAATATTTGAAATTGTATGCGACCCTTAAATTTATTTGGGGATTATGTCAAAAGGTGGAAAATGTGTTATATTTTCCGCAACCTCTAAGCTCCATCAGAAACCTTGTAAGAGGGCTATGTGAAAATAAATAAAACATGCGGTCAACTTCGGTATGAAAATGGGGTCAGAACTCGATCAGAGAATACTTATAAGGAGCCTATGTCGCTACCCTAAAAATTCTAAAATGTTATTCTCGGAAAAAAGAAATGTCCACTTGCATCCAAATTGGTTAGGAAAATGTCAGTAAAACCTTAAAAATATCTAACATTGTTTAGGAGGACAAAGCAAAAAACATTTTTCCGAGAAGATAATAAATTCTCTGAAAACATGACATTCCACACTCTACACTCAATTCAGTACCCTATGCCAAATTTAGTGTAAATTCGAAGATATATACGGACTTTGTGCACCATTTCTATTAATTCGGACAAAAAAATATATGGGAGCTATATCTAAATCTGAACCGATTTTCACGAAACTTAGCACACATCATTCTGCACTTAATTCACTTTGTTGCACCATTTACATAAAAACGGTCGAAACTATATATGGGAACTATAAAGAAATCTGAACCGATTTTCACGAAACTTTGTACACATCACTCTGACTTAATTCAGTACGCTATGTCAAATTTTGTGCAGATCAAAAGATATATAGGGACTTTGGTACATCATTTCTATTAAATCGGACGAAAATATATATGGGAGCTATATATAAATGTGAACCGATTTTTAGGAAACTTAACACACATCATTCTAGGTTTAATTCTGTGCGCTATGCCAATTTTTTTGCAAATCCAAGGATATATAGGGACTTTGGACCACCATTTACATAAAATCGGACGAAACTATATATGGGAGCTATAACAAAATCTGAACCGATTTTCACGAAACTTTGTACGCATCACTCTAGGCTTAATTCAGTGCGCTATGCCAAATTTCGTGCAAATCGAAAAATATTTAGGGACTTTGGTAAATCATTTATATAAATATTTATATAAATATATATGAAAGCTATATTGAAATCTGAACCGATTTCATTCTATACTATGTTAAGTACGCTATACCAAATTTCGTGCAAATCGAAGGATATATAGGGACTTTGGTGCACCATTTACATAAAATCGGACGAAAATATATATGGGAGCTATATCTAAATCTGAAGCGATTTTTTACAATTTCAATAGGGTTTGTCCTTGGGCCAAAGAAATAAGCTGTGCCAAATTTCATCCAATTTGAATCAAAAATTCGACCTAAAATGGGATTACGAAAACTTCGTTTGGAAAACGATAATAGGAGGCGGATTTTTAAACAAATTTACAGAGGCGTGAATTTTTAAAGATTCGGGCATCGATGTTTCAAGAAATTTATTTTCAGGGTCAGCAGAGTCGTGGATTTTTAAAGAAATGTATTTTGAGGGTTATATACGCGTTGAATTTTAAATAAATTTATTTTCAGTGTCAGCAGAAGTATGGATTTAAAAAAATATTGTATAGGCCCATATACGCTTGGATTTAAAGAAATGTATTTTTATGTCCAATTTAGGTATGAATGTTTCAACAAATTTATTTTAAGGGTCAACAGAGGTTTGGATTTTTAAAGAAATGTTTGTTTATGGTTAATATAGGCGTAGATATTTCAACAAATTTATTTTTAGTGCCGATATAGGCCTGGATGTTTCAAGAAATTTATTTTCAGGGTCAATAGAGGTGTTTTTCTACTATAGAAGAGCCAAATGATATTCTACGAAAAATGGAAATTTTGTTTTAGAGACCCCTATTCAGACACATATGTTTTAAAATACAAGAGGCAGACCTCACGAAGATCATCTACCTATAGAATGAGAATATATGAAAATATGTTTGGAAAACTTATAGAGAGGAGGTTGTACCCCTTAAATGCCTGCCTTCTAAGTAAGCTTCAAAAAATTTCATACGGAAAATGGAATTGATTTATCTTAAGGGAACCCCATCCACCAAAATATTTTTTTGGAAAATCGCCGATTTTTTACCAAAAACCAAGTTAAAAAATAAGGAAGATCTTCACCGATTGGCTTTATCCTAGTTCATACGAGAGCTATACACTCCCAGAGAAACGTTGCAAAATTTGGAACCGATTGGATTATTAGTTTTTGAGTTATCGTGCCCGCCATTCGCAAAAAAATGTTTAGAGAAAAACGCGTTTAAAGTTTGAGAATCCCTTCAGCCGTCACTTGATGCTGACACAATAAATCGGCTATATCTTCAAGTGTTCTTGAGATTTTGACTTGAAATTTTGTAGAGACATTCTTTAATCAGTGTAGATTCGAATTATACCAACAAAAACTTTGACCCCGAGAATGGGGGGTCCCCTTAAAGCTATATACGTTTCCTTGAAAGGAGTAAGACCTATCGATGATCATCTAACTATAAAATCTCTTGTACCGTTGGAAAACTTGTAGAAGTTCCATTCCCGTGGAGGGCCTTTCTTCTATAGAAGATCCAAAAAATAACTTATGGAAAATCAATCATATGTAAAAAACCTAGAGAAGTTCAATAGAAGTCTGGCATTTGTCCTGTCTTTAAAGATGACCTAACTTCGGGACCAAAAATCCATATTCAAACTAGAAAGACATAAATCCATATATGTATAGAATACCTGAAACACTTCTATATGCACAATATAATCGCAAACACATGTGGAAACATCATATTTAAAAATTTAAGTTTGAAACCATCATGACCTACTGGATTCGATTTTATTAGTGCAAAAAACTCTAAAACCTCGTCACGACGAACATATCAAAAACTAAATCCCTCCTCAACATCAAGTGGAACATTCGGTACATTATCACGAGACTGATTACGAACATTCAATAGTTTCATTAGAATCACACGCCACAACATCCCTTTTAAGTAATGACCAAATTTGTTTAGAAGACTTGTTACAAAATATATTACTATAGGCTACACGCTCAACTTTTCGTACATTTTTCGTCGTATGCCTCAGCTTATAGAAAGCCTTCCAATTTTCATCATGGAAGAAATTTTGACTGAACAGAGCTACATATCTTCTATCTAGGACCTATAGAAAGAATCCTACTTATAGAAGGTATTCTGTCCATAAAAGACCTTTAGAAGGTATTCCATCTATATAGAAGACCTATATTAAGTCTACTGTTCCATCTAGAAGGACAAAAGTACATTTGCATAGAAGATCTCTTGTATTCTGTAAATAGATTAACTTCCATAATTTTTCAATAGATGGAAGCCCTCATACATAATTTCTATATATGAAAAAACATTTTCTAAAGACTCTAGCTTTTTGAAATAGAATTATGTCTTTAAAATACCTATAGAAGTTCTTCAATGACATATAAAAGGCTTAAGAAAGACCTTTAGAAGGTATAGAAAATAAATATCTTCTACAGGTCTTCTGTCTATAGAACATGCTGTTCATTTAAAGAACACCCTCAAAATTTGTTCTAATCTCCACTCTTCCTTACACTTTCTCATACTTCTTCGCCGTTTCTTTTTCTTTTACTCACCAAAAATGAACACAGGAATCCCTTAACAGCATCGAAATTTGGTCCCACCGTGAATATTTCATGAATGATATCTTCCAGACAAATGATACCCTTATCACCCAGATGTTCCTCAATCATAGTATTCGATTGAATCGGTGTCTTTTTACCATTGACAATGGCAAAACCCTTCTTGAATACCAATTCACGAATGGTGGCAATACTGGGATATCCATACACCACAAAAGGTTCGATGACTTTCAACAGTATTTGATTTTCTTTGCTATTCTCCAGGAAAACGGTATGATGGCGATGTGTCATTCCCAATGTTTTCATAATTTTATTTGTTGTCTCATCGAAAATCTTTTTGCCAGCGTGTCTCATAACCAGCAACAGTTTCTGATTGACCTGTGTCGAATCGTTGGTGTCACAAATATTGGTGGTCCGCAGAGTGTGTTTGATACGATTCGCTGTACGTTCCGCTTTAAGATAATTCATAACAAACGATTCGGCGCGGCGGAATTTATGATGCTTCCTGGCTTTGGCAATGCGTTCGGTTTTTAGGCGTTTCTTTTGTTCCAATGTGGCCTTATCCTGAAGAATACGACGTTTGCGATGGGCCAACACCGACACGGTTTTGCCAGGCAATTTATTCGGAACTGCATATCTAGAGAAGTAGACAGGGAGAGTGTTAGATATTAAGCCAAGGAATAAAGTTCACAAAGTACTTACTTGTCCGACATATTTGAAAATTGGAATTTATCGAGTAGTTTATTAAAATGTCAAATTATTTCAAATATTTCCAGCATGCACAGCGACAAAACCAACCGATCCAATCAAACACGTGCGGTACAAAAAACTTGAATGAAAATAAATGCAGGGTTGTACGAAAAAGTAGTATTGAAATCGGTTTGGGTACTAAATAATGAACTCTGCGTGGCATCATTAATGGCAACGGAAGATGTGTGGCAAAATTAGCAGAGAGATAGAATTTATGTTCATGGTCAATATAGGCGAGGAAAATTATGTCTAGGGTCAAAATAAATGTGGATTTTTAAAGAAAATTATTTTCGGGGTCAACAGAGGCGTGGATTTTAAAGAAATTTATTTTCAGGGTCGAGGCGTGGATTTTTAAAGAAATTTATGTTCATGGTCGAGGCGTGGGTTTTTAAAGAAATTTATTTTCAGGGTCAACAGAGGCGTTGATTTTTAAAGAAATTTATTTTCAGGGTCAACAGAGTAGTGGATTTTTAAAGAAATTTATTTTCAGGGTCAACGGAGGCGTGGATTTTTAAAGAAATTTATTTTCAGGGTCAACAGAGGAGCGGATTTTTAAAGAAATTTATTTTCAGGATAAACAGAGGATTGGATTTTTAAAGAAATTTATTTTCATGGTCAACAGAGGCGTGGATTTTTAAAGAAATTTATTTTCAGGGTCAACAGAGGCGTGGATTTTCTTAGAAACTATTTTTCCTGGGCCAAAAGAGGCGTGGAGTTTTTAAAGAATATTTTTTTCTGAGGCAAAAGAGGCGTGGAGTTTTTAAAGAATATTTTTTCTGGGTTAACAGAGGCGTGGAGTTTTTAAAGAATATTTTTTCTGGGTTAACAGAGGCTTGGATTTTTTAGAAACTATTTTTTCCTGGGCCAAAAGAATCGTGGATTTTTTAAAGAATATTTTTTTTGGACCAAAAGAGGCGTGGTTTTTTAAAGAAAATTTGTTCTGGTCCAAAGTAGGGGTGGAGTTTTTAAAGAATACTTTTTCCTAGGCCAAAAGAGGTGTGTTTTTTTTAAGATCATTTTTCTCTAGGCCAAAAGAGGCGTACATTTTTTAAAGAATATTTTTCCAATGGCTATTGTAAACAATCAAGGGTCAATCGATTTATATAATTATTAATCGATTGGAATCCTCAACTGGGCTATTGTGATTGCATTTGGACAAGATGTATTTCCCCACACCCCATTTTATATCGATTTTTGGACTTGATTATCGATTTTTTACTATTTTTTTAAATATTTCAACCAAAAGTAAAAAAAAAAAACAAAGATTTACATATTTTTTTAAATCTATTTATAGGCTCTTTATTTAAATATTTTATTGTAGACTCATTTAAAAATAGAAATTATTGGTTCCGAACTATGTTTTCAAAATAACGTTCCGCTTGGTTTTGTGTTCAGTTTGTTCTTCTTCAACACCATCCAGTTTTCATATCAAACTAGTCAGCACCAAACAATTAGAATTAAACAAACCCAACAGCAAGGCACCACTGACTGCCTGACCGACCAACCGACGACGCCAACCATTCAAAATGGTTGTTGGTTGGTCGGTCGTATCGGTTGACTCTCTCGATATCAAACAGTCATCGAGCTCTATTTAAAACAGGCGAACAGAAATTTCAGAAAGACAAACGAATCGAACTGAACATCGCCAGCCGATAGATGTGTTCAATGAAGAAATGAAAACCAGATGGTGCGGTGTCCCGCCAAAATAATATGTATGTGTGTCTGGATGTGTGTGTGTAGCAGAAAAAGTAAACAAAAAGCAAAACATTATATGTATTAGGGGTACTCACAGATTTTCACAATGATTTTGGTTAGATCAGTCCTAACTCAAACCCGGAAGGCGAAGTAAAATAAAGGAGGAAATATCTAACAAATATGGATCATCGCTCAATGAATGACCGCGGTTTTTGCCTAAAATAAATAGACACCAAAATTTTTAATTTGAAACCTTCCACCTCGAAGTATTCAATGAAATTCCTCTAAAGTTCATGTCCTTCGGTATGTCAAAATCTACTTTTTTTAGCTGTAACTCCTCTTGAACGCATATTGTATCCACAAAACATCATCATCTTAGTTTTTCTCGGGTTATTTTTCGTCGACAGGTGTTTAGGGTATACCTCCGATTTTCAACCAATATAATTTGCTGTTATAGTGCTTCCTAGATAGCAAAGCTATTGACCAGAGTTGGGCAATATCGTTTCAGAAACGGTTCAATGTGACGAGAGCAAAAATTAAAGAAATTCTCTCCAGATTTTCTAGTTTGCCTGTATGTTGAATACCTTAGAGAGAAAAAACAGATATCATCCGCTTAATCTAACTCATCAAGTTATTAATTTTATGCCTCTTCTCTGAAAGCAGAGCAGAAACGGCTAGTTTAGGTTGCCGTTTTAAAGAACTGGAGAGCTCTATAACTGCGTACCTAGCTCTTATTGTTTTCTGGGATTCTTCCATTTTTGCACAATGTTTCCCCTATGAAAGTTCGTCTGATGTTGTCGAAAGATTTCTTTAAATTGATGAACAGTATATACAAGGTTTTTGGGTCATAACGATGCTATTATGACTCGTAGTGTCGGCCTGGTAAACACAGCTTCTATTTGACCTAAAGCCAGCTTATTCATTTCTCATGTTTCCTACCGTGGGCTAAACAGTGTGGCCTGCGGTCACGATACAAACCATAGTTATGGACCAATCTTTGCGTGTGGGATGTGTTCCGGCCAAAGGCGACTCCTTTTGTTTCGGGTAATGATCCGTTTATTTTTAGAGAAATTAATCGAAAACTTTATTTTTGTCGGTTTTCTGGTGACTCTTGAGGCCACAATTATGACCCGAACATCACCAAAATTTACACCAGGAAGGGAATCTGGACAAAGAACTGACTGTTCTGATGAATATCGGACAATATTTAGCGGGTCAAATAGACATAGACTTTTATGTGAAAAAATAATGTGGTCTAAATATTCGTATATTCTTTAGTATAACCATTACTACACAGGAGGGCGAAAATATAGCACTGATGGCTGGGAGATTTTGCTTGAGGTTCCAGTTATCAGCTTTCCATCACAGGCGATCTAACCAACTTATTCGAATGGATGTCTTGATATTGAGCGGTCAAATGAACCAAGACTTTTTTTTCGTAAAATAACAAAATTGTAAGCTTATGGAGTAAATTTTAACTCCTGATATCATTATTCGGATAAGATTCCTGCAGAGAAGCATCTAATCGGCAAGGAGAGTGCAAATATAGCATAATATTACCCAGGATCGGAATATAAATGCGCTGGAACTTAGATCTCAATGCAAGTTGTGTAGGGTTTAGACTATTTTCCGGAAGTTAAAGTCCTTATTTTTGGTATATTTTGGAAAAAAAAAACATTCCGTTTTTACTTATTAAAGCCGCTATTATATAATTTTCTAAGAGCATTTTTCCCTTTCCCATTCCAAATGTTCAGCCAGTTGAAATTAACGGCATTTTCTTGAGAACATGAAATGGTTTGAATTTTGTCCCGCTTTTTATCATTTCTGTCACTTTTTTGTAACTGGATACGAACACTTCGGTAGAGATTTTACAAAAATCTGCAGATCATTTATAACTTTTCAGCTCTTGTCTGAAAGTTCGCTTGATTTTCTACCCAAATTTATTTTCAATTTGTTTTAAGGGGACCCCCCCATTCCCGGGGTCCAAAATCTTGTTGATATAATTCGAATCTACACTAATTAAAGAATGTCCCTACAAAATTTCAAATGAAAATCTAAAGAACTCTTGAAGATATAGCCGATTTATTGTGTCAGCTTCAAGTGACGGCTAAAGGGCTTCTCAAACTCTAAACGCGTTTTTCTCCAAACATTTTTTTGCGAATGGCGGGCAAGATAACTCAAAGACTAATAACCCAATCGATTTCAAATTCGTACACGTTTCTCTGTGAGTATATAGCTATCGTATGAACTAGGATAAAGCCAATCGGTGAAGATCTTCCTTATTTTTTAACTTGGTTTTTGGTCAAAATTCGACGATTTTTCAAAAATATTTTTTCAAAGGTCCGCCATTTTGATAATTTTAGAGCGAAGTCGATAATCCTAGTTCATACGAGAGCCAGACATGTACTCTTTCTAACACAGTTGGAATTTTCGGATTCCGATGATCCAGTGCCCGCCATCAAAAATAAGGACTTTTCTTTAATTACAAAAAAAAACAACAACAAAGCAATAACAACAATTTTTTGTAAATTATTTTTCTTCTTTTTTAAACCGTCAAATATATATGTGCAAAGTTACAAACCTTAACAATCATTGGTATTGATTTACCAGCCCATTGAAAATCTTGAAAAATTAAAATCGAGAATGAGTGGGGTTCCCTTAAATTACACTGAATTAAAAATTGATATTTTGATAACACAGTCCTTAAAAATAAAAGCAGAAATTATATACGTATTTTGAATACTATACCTATGGTAGATGGTATAAAAAGTCGGCCCGGTCGATTTCTTTTTAATTTCATTGTCTTCTCTAAATTATAATTCGAGGAAGTGAGTACCCCTAATGATTACCTTCTTCGAAATACTTACTGATGATGTTCGTTGCTTGTTGGTAGTGTTTGACAATACCGAACCCAAAAAAAAAAAAAAAACTTTTGAAGTCAGTAACGGCGAACTTCACTCGCTTGTGCTAGAGAAGACAGCCGCAACACCAGTCGCCGAACATGGATGAACACCGAGTGCTCAAACAAGCAAGCGACCGAACGAATTCTTCCATTGAAGAGACGACCACCGGTACCGCACGCAACACACGAACGAAATAAGTGAAATCTTTTAGGCACGTCAACGAAATTTTCAATCAGGCAAACAGCAAAACTAAACAGCAGCATCCCGCACAGTATATGGACGATTGTGAATCAACCGACCGACCGACCGACCGGACCAACATGTCATGTTGTTTTTATTTTCTTATGCCAATTGTTTGGCCATTG